ACTGTAGTTACCATTACTATAATTCATTATTCAGCTATTACAACTGCTATTAACTGCATGATATTGATAATCATGATTAATGTAGTAATGATGAGGATGATAATTATAATAACAATAATGATATTACTGATGATAATGATATATATAGTATGATAACGATAAATGATAATGATAATGATAGTGATAATAATTATTATAAAATAATGATAATAACAATAACTCTATTACTGATAGTTATAATGATGATAGTGATGATAATAACTACAACAATAATAAAAAATAATACAAAAATAGTAGCGTTAAAAGTAATAGCAACAATAATAATGATAACAAAAATATTAATGGTAATGATGACAATGATAACACTAATAACAGTAAGAATAACAATAACAATAAAAATGATAATAATAACAAACAAACAGCAGTACTACTACCAGTAATAAGAATGATAATAAGAATAAGGATGATAATGATGGTGAGGATAATAATAACGATAACGTTAATAATAATGATAGGCAATGATAGGGATAATGATGATAACAGTGATAAAATGATTATCATAAAAAAAATTATCAGAAATAAAAATAAAAGCGATAGTAATAATGATGGTAATTATGGCAATGTTGATAATGATGGTCATTATAATAATGATAATAATAAAGCAATGATGATAACAATGATAATGATGATGACGATGATAACATTTAGATGAAGATGATGATAATCTTGACAATAATGATTATAATAATAGTAATAATAATAATAATAATAATTCCAATAACAAAAAAATAACAAAAATAATAATAACAATGGAAATGATAATAATAATAACAATAATGATATAATGATGATAATGATAATAATAATAATAATAATATAATAATAATAATAATAATAATAATAATAAATAATAATAATAATAATAATAAGAGATGAGAATGATAATAATAGTAACAATAGTAATAATAATGATAAAGAAATCATAATAAAGATGATAAAAATAAAAATAATAATTGTAAGAACTATGACAATAATGATAACAATAACGACGACAACGATGATAATGATAATAAAGATGACAATCATAGATAATAATTAAGTCTGAAAATGATGATTGTAATATTAGCAGTTGATAATAAAGATAAAATAGAAACACTAATGATAACAAAAAGAGAATAACTAACTGAAAAAATAATGATAATAGAGAAAGTGAAAAAATAACAACATTAAACTTTACAAATCTTTTCTTAAAAATTATACAAACTCTCTTATACAAATTAAACAAATTATACAAACTTATAAATCATACTATAAACTCTTATAAATTATAAATTATACAAACTCTTATAAATTATACCATAAACTCTCATAAATCATAAATTATACACTCTTATAAATGACACAAACTCTACAAATTATACAAAATTATACAAACATAAACTTAATTATAAATTATACTATAAATATAAATTATACTAAATTATACTATAAATTATAAATTGTACTATAAACTCTTATAATTGATAAATTATACAAACTCTTATAAATTATACAAACCACAAATTATACAAAATTATACAACTTCACTCACGCGTATAGCCCAAGTCTGGAGTCCACACGGAGACTAAAAATGATAAGGAGCTCCATTAACTTGATCGCCCAATAATCAACTGTTGTCTAAGGTCATAAAACTAACTTTGAGATTGTGAATGATTAGAAATGAAATCCTTCGACGATTCGGGAAGTTTAATCGAGTGGTTCAAAATCGTTCATTATCTTGCAATGCGTGGAATTCACGGTGAACAGATTGCAACTGGAACAACGAAGGGAAGGACAAGGAAACAGATTGCAACAGGAACAACGAAGGGAAGGACAAGAAACAGATTGCAACAGGAACAACGAAGGGAAGGACAAAGAAAACAGATTGCAACAGGAACAACGAAGGGAAGGACAAGAAAACAGATTGCAACAGGAACAACGAAGGGAAGGACAAGAAAACAGATTGCAACAGGAAACAACGAAGGGAAGGACAAGAAAACAGATTGCAACAGGAACAACGAAGGGAAGGACAAGAAAACAGATTGCAACAGGAAACAACGAAAGGGAAGGACAAGAAAACAGATTGCAACAGGAACAACGAAGGAAGGACAAGAAAACAGATTGCAACAGGAACAACGAAGGGAAGGACAAGAAAACAGATTGCAACAGGAACAACGAAGGGAAGGACAAGAAAACAGATTGCAACAGGAACAACGAAGGGAAGGAAAAGAAACAGATTACAGGAACAACGAGGGAAGGACAAGGAAACCAGATTGCAACAGGAACAACGAAGGGAAGGACAAGAAAACAGATTGCAACAGGAACAACGAAGGGAAGGACAAGGAAACAGATTGCAACAGGAACAACAGGACAAGAAACAGATTGCAACAGGAACAAACAGGAAGGAAGGACNAGAGAGAGACTGAGAGAGAGAGAGGAGAGAGAGAGGAGAGAGGAAAGG